TAATTTAATTCATACAAGCTGTAAATATTATTATTTTTGCATGCTCCCAGGGCTTATGGATAACTATGTTTTAAAAATCAAAGCAAAAAAAAAAAAAAGAGTATCCCCAGATCAGAATCAGTGGGTAAATTTCTAAAGATTTAATTTACATTCATCTCCTATTAAACTGAATGCATAATCTTCTTCGTTATTATTTTGTAAGTCTCCAGATACATCTGGGAAATTATTTTTTTTTTATTAATGCATTTGCATGTGCATGACTAAAATTCTTCTAGTCTTGGCAGTTGTACTTGAAACCAGAATTTACACTGAATGAGGAAATATGGGTCATTCAGCAAACAAAAACAAAGATGAAGCAAAGGGCAACTTGTTTGAAGACCCTGAGTTCTTGCCAAGCCACGTTTCCCAAAATATTTTGCCCTACACCACACTCGGGCCTTAATTATCAACTACTCTCCTGCAGGAGCCAGCTGCTTGAAGCATGAAAGGCAAACACAAAAACGTGACCCTGCCATAACTCAGCGACAGACTTGGTGACACTTCGGCATGTGCACGATTAGCTCTTATCTTCAACCAACCTGAAGAACGCCCTTTTCTTCGCGGGGCTCATTCAGCCTAGGCCATGCTAACAGCCAGTTGCGTTCAGCGCTGGCCCAGCCGTGCTGCAGCACCCTTGTCATTTTGCATGCATTTCATCGCCTCAGCCTAACAGTCTGGTGGGCTGGTAGGAGGTTCTGGGATCCGTGAGATGTCTCCACTTGTTGACAGCACACAAAAAAGACATTTTTTTCTCCTCTCAGGGCACTCTCCGCCCTTGCCCGTTTATATCTTGTTCCAGTATGCGGAGCTGAGTGCAAAGCAGCAAAGCCAAGGTTCGCCCTGCTGTCTAACGATGCTTCCTTATTTAGCAGCTAGTTTTACTGCAATCTTCTGTTCTCACCCCCACAAATGTTCGAAGTTCTGTTCTCTGGAGCATAATTACTCCAAGTACCTTTCCTCCGGCAGCAGCATGCTAATACTTCATGGCTTTTCAGGAGACAGTTTGTCTTCTTAAAGGTGACCCAAACATCTTGCGCAAAGCACCGAAGGGCTCCATCCTGACCGGGAACTTCAGCAGCAGATTAGCACCTGAACACCTTGTGGAGCTGTGCAACAATACCTCTGAGACACCTAAGCCTCTAAAACATGCAGTACATAACCAATTCCCCTGTTTCTGCAGTTTTGCAGCATCTCAGGGGCAGCTTCCACGGGCACGAGCAACGTGCAACCCTGAAAGGCATTTCACATCCAAGCAGACCGGTTTTCATCTGTCCCCATTTCATGTTCCCAAAAGCACAGCAGCACTGTGTGCAGCTGCCCAGCACCCTCCATTAAAAGACCTGGATGTCAGCTCCTCATTTCTTTGCCAAACTTGACCCATTCAGACTGAAATAACCATGCTGGAGGATTGCCTGGGCTGGGGTTGCTTGCTTGCTTTTGTTCCTGAAGCAGCAGCAAGGGCAATCTCACCAATTTCCTCCAATAAAGTTGCAATTTCTGAAGTAAGGTACATCTCTGCAAAGGAGATGAATGTGAGCCAGAACAGTTTACAAAATAGGTTCTCTGCATGCTCAAAAACATCAACTACTACTTATACGTGGGAAGAGCTAATGCCTTCCTACTTGCAGAAATACCTGTGGATTTTAACACAAACAAATTGCAGCTCTTTGTAGCAGACGTGTGAAAATACAGCCTTGTTTCAACAAGCCAAGAAATTCTGCCGGTCTAATGTGCGCATAAGAAAAAAAATACATATTCGTACTCTTATTCTCAAACTGCACAGGGAAACTAAAATAAAGTTTTATCTAACATTTCCTAACTTCTGAGTGGTTTGAGTTTGCAACCTAAGTCATCTCTTAACTTCTGATTTCTTTTTAGCCAGTGTCTCATTTTTTAACTCTAATTTTATTACACATTAAATTGCATTTTAAAAGAAACAAGCATAGGAATTAGTGTGTCTTTCAAAACAGGCAAGGCTGACTCTGGAATGACTCTAAGAAGTGCTGTTAATGGGTAAAAGCATGCTAGTTAGAGGGGGGGGGGGGAAACGCCTGGCAGACTTAGAAAATGGATGCTTCTTTCAGTAATTACGCGGATTGAGAAACAGCTATTTCTGTCGACATCTTCAAAGAAACTTCTAAAGTTATGGAAAGTAAACAGAAAGAAAATCAGCAAGCAGATTTTTTTTTCCCCCAGAAAAAAAGGGTATTTTGAAAACCAACAATGACAGCAGCCAAATCTATTCTGGAAAACAAAGATCGCCACGTGGGTAGAGGCTTGCGTTAATGAAATCACCTACCGGGATTTTAATCCACGCACGCATCAGATAGACCACGTATTTTAGCGAGGAGATTTTAATTGGAGCTTGGTCACCCTTGAAAATCCCTCCCGTAAAATCCAGCTAGGCTGGCTGTAAATCAAGACAGTAGGGATGATGACACAAGACACTCAAAATTAGAAACCATCTGACAGCTAAGCCAGTTACAAGACTCGTGGCAGGGGAGAGAGTAAATAAACAGAACTTGCTAGGAGGTTGGGTTTATGTTTGGTGGCCAACTCTTGCAGCTTTACGATGACAATTGTGATATTTAGGCTTCTATTTAGAGCTTTTTAAATTTTTTTAACGTTATTTGGAAGACCTCGTTGTTGTGTGGGAATCACAGGATAAATGTGGAGTGAGTTATGCAGAGGGACACCAGAGTTTAGGCACGCCTCTCCTGCCCCGTACACGTATTCAGTGAGAAGTACTCTTTGCAATTAAACCAAAGGCACTCTTAAGTTTGCTTGATCCTTCCCAAGGTACCAATAAGCAAACTGTACTAAACAGAGGCCCCATTTGGCTGCGATCCCTTTTTTTTTTTTTTGCAGGGTCTTTTAAATGAAACCACTTGTGGCAAATCAACTGAAGCTTCTCCCAGCCTGGTCAAGGGTGACCGAAGTGAGTGTGTTTTATTTCAAAACGGGCAAACCTAAAAATGTGCAGAAACCGTGACACAAGTGTTGGGTATGTGAAACAGCTGCTTGCCAGAACTCTGGTTTTGGATACACTGGACCACACTTGGAGGTATTTCTCAATGCGACCAAGGGAATCCAAATCCACGCTGCCACAGAAGAGTTTTTTTCCATTCTGGAGGAAGTCATCTTATTAACTTACCCAAGCCAAAGCCTGATTTTACAGAAGCTTATGCATCTCGATTTCGCTGCAGAGCTTTTGTAGAGCAGTCAGCGAGCTCAAAGCCAAAATTAAAAAGGCCATTTTGGCCATGACCCTCCGATGGCAACAGCTGATCCGCCCTGAGCTGTAACTGGAAAAACTTCTAGACATAAACACGGCTCTTAATGTCTTCTGGTATTGTTCACATGCATGACGAGTTTTAAGAGCTTTGTTGTACATGTTGCAATTGTCTAAATTTAAAAAAAAAAAAAAAAAAAAAAAAGGCAGAGGAACTCACAGCCTACTTTTTCCTACCCATCTCAGTCCAAGTGCTTTACTGGGTTCGCCCAGTAAGAAAAAAAAAAAAGATCCTCCACGCAGATATACGATGTTAGAAAACTTCCTACTGCTTTTTCATTCTGGACTACAAATTTTAAGGATCTTCCAAAAACGACTCAAAGCACTAATCTGTGTATCAACAGCTCTCGCACTGTGGATGTACAAAGATGTAAGAGCACTCCTGTTTCTTTTTCTAAAGCAAATATTTTCCGTTCACAAAAAAAAAAAAAAATCACCTGCAGAAACAACTTTAATTTCTCCGAAAATCTGATTTTACATGCCAGTAGAAATCAAGATTTACCTATTTCAATACTGAAGAGCCTTTTAATTTTTAAGTGTTTATCCGTCCTTTAAACTAACTTTTTATTCATGTTGGTAGAGGGTTAATCTCTCTCAGTAGTCTCAGTCTTTTCAAAGGGATTATTTACCTCCTCAATTAAAGAAGAACAGAGTAACATGGCCAATTAAAAAGCTGAAGGAGCTGAGGTTTTCTATGAAACTTGAAATTAGCCTTGAAGCTACAAGTGCAGCTATCCTTATGAATAAGCAAACCTTAGCCAATTACTGCAGCAGCAAAACAAATTAAGATACAGTATCAAACCAGATTAAACACGAGATTAATTTCTCGAACAAGCGCGTTCCCAAGACAGCAGAACTCTTCAGCAGCTGATTTTACGCAAGCCAGCACATCCCCATGCGATACGGCACTGAACAGGAATACAGATCCTACCTCAGCTGCTCAAGGTGTTCTGGAAGTTCGGCGCTTCAAAACCATGGAACTGTTTTCCAGCCAGTAGGAGTGATATTTATTTATTTTTCTCATTGTTTTAAATATTTGTGTTAGTTTAACAAATTAATTTGTGCTTGGAAAAGATCCTCTGAGTATTTGAGTAGTGTGCTGCCTAACCTTCCCCGAATAAATCAATCTAGATTTCTTACCGCCCTGGATGTAGTATCTACATTTGATCATCTCATAAATAATTCCTCGCCTCTCATTCTCAGAAGATTTTGAATGATCCACTAACAAGCAAAAGCCTAAATAATGCAACGTTGTTCTGGTTCCACTGACGATATATAGATTTCCCCACGCTAAAAGTGGAGTAAATAAAATTGCAGGCTGGCTGTACCCCTTCTATTTGTTTCAGAAATAGAGGAGGCGTTTCTTGGTTTTGGTTTATATTCGCTCTACAGGGATAGGAATCTGCTCACCTTCTTTCCCCCCCCCAGACGCAAAATGAGATGGGTTGCAGAGTGCTATGGATGCCACAAGGCAGCCCAGCTAGCTGCTAGATGGGGCAGCCCAGTCTGACCAGTCAGAAAACTTCTGGGCTCCTTCCTGGTAGGAAAACAGATTTAGTTCTAAAAATGATGGCAGTAAGTGCCGCTCCCTGAGGGCCTTCATACATCTGCATGCACAGCTCCCTGAGCAGAAAGAAGTAAAAAAAAAAATAAAAAAAAAAAGTCTGACTGGAATTTATTAAGTAATTTCTGTGGCTTTTATGGAAGACATTGCAACAATTGTCCACTGCACACACAGGTTAACATATGTCCCACACATTACAGAGCCAGCATCCCGCCCAAGGTAAATCTCAAAGTTCAACATGCCCCAAATTAAATTCTGTAATGACTCCTAAAGACGGCATTACAATCTGTTATGTCAATACCATACAGCAGTCCACGGTTATAATTTGTTAGGTCAATAATTCAGCGTAGCCTACTAAACTTAGTACTGCTTCCTCAAGAGCCATAAAATAAATGTTTAAAAGGGTCACGATAGCGTATTTATAGTCATCTATAATTAGTTCTGCACCATCACAGAAATACATTACAGAAATTACGTATATAAATCAGACTGCAATCTTCATTTATAATTTCTCACATTCTCCAAGGACTGGCATAAACAACTGCAACCACTCCTCTGCAGATTATGGCCTTAACTCACAGCATAGCCTGCACTATCAGTGAGATTCCTCAATGCTCGCTTCTCCCTCGACTCCACCACGAGTTTGAGCAGGGACTGGAGACGGATCCCATCCGAGAAATAACAGGATCACTCCCACAGAAACCACGGGACCTGCCCTGTTGTTCAGCCCAGTCATACAGCCAGGACTTGGTGCTGTGGTGGTCACGGGGAGGGCTGGCTGTTGGAGCAGGCAGGGGTGAGGAGATGTGAAGGGGGAAGCGCACCCTACAAGAGGAAGGGCAGAATTCATCAGAGGAGAGCTCAGGCACCGTGCAGAGGGCCTGTCCTCACTGCCGCTGCTCACCCAATTCACAGGTATCCCTCTGGGCAGTCTACAAGCCCGGATCAAGAACAGTCAGTAAAGCCAAAGTACTGACTTTCAGCCAAAGGATGAACAGCAAGTGGTAGCTTGGATCCTATGCTATACTCCTATTTAAATAATAATAATAAAAAAATAAGATTTCTGTGTTAGGCAGCCAGGATTTCTAAGTGCCGGCTGTGCTCTGCAGTGACTGCGTGCTTTCTGCAGCTTGCCTCTACCTTCGGGATTGAGATGAGCTCCATCAAGGGGGGGAAAAAAAAGTCTAGCTGGCAAACGCTGATGTATGGCAGCTCGATTTATACTGCACACTGCTGGATTCCTTTTTTTTTTTTTTTTTTCTTTTTAAATCTATATGCCAGGAACAAGACTTAAGGCAAGACTTCTTTATTGCAAGTTTTGGCAGATCCAGTCAACATCTATTATTTATGATTATGGTGTTGTTTTTTCTTTTGGTTTGCTTCTACTGCAGTGTCTCAGTCTAATTGTCAAGGCCAGATAGGACTTAACCACATAATTATTTAAAGCTCATTTACTAAGTGATGCAGATGCAAGATACAGGAGAAAAATAATACAGTCAGTATGAAATTACATTCCTAGCAGCACTGCAGCAACATCTCTCTGTAAGCAGAAAGTGCATGGCAGGCTAGCACTGAAAAACTCCTGGGTAGGCTCCAGCCTTTTTTCACATTCCCTTCGGTAACTCAACATCCTTTGTTTTCTGCCTTCACTGTGAAGCTAACCGACAGCGACAGAGTTACCCGGACCTGCACTCGCAAAATCCCACTTGTACCACTGTGCAGAACAGAACTGACAGCACGCTTCTTGCTTCAAAAAAAAAAAAAAATTAGTGCCCTGAAGGCCCATGGTTTAAGGAAAGCCATTGCAAACAACCTCTGAGACCATGGGAACACAGAGAGGGGAAACGTCCCTCTCGTTCTTGTGTATTTGTGCTGTGGAGGTGCCCAAAGGAGCCCAGCTGGAGTCACTGCCATGTGGGCAACAGCACGGTGCTGCTCCATGCAACTCTGTGCGCCATCCATCTGCAGCCACAGCCCTCTTCCCCTCCCAAAACAGGAAGATAAAGCCTCAGAGCCTGCTGCCCAAGAGCCATACAAGTCCCAGGGCAGTGAGGAGATGAAGGAAGAGCCAGCCGGGAGCAAACAGCCCCTGGCACCACAGGCAGTGCCAGCAGGGGCTGGTGGCTGCCCAGGGCACGGCACGGGTGCTGCCACCACAGGCACAGCTCACAAGTCCAACTCCGCCTGACACAGGGACATGGTGGGGCTCGAGCTGACATTATTAGCAATGGGACACTTCAGCAGGGTGACAAACTTGTGTTACGCTGCCAAACTTTGTCACATGATGAGCCCACATAGTAGCCATAGGTCCTGAACTTTCGCTCCGGTCAGCTGGTGGTACATTAGGCAGACTGCAGTTTTTTGCCCTACTACATCTGGGCTTCCCTCTTCTGCTCCTAGGGCAGCCAAAACTTTTTGTACAGAAAGGTGAAAAGTAAGGGAATTAAAAAAAAAAAAGTTTCATTATCAAATATATGACAAGAAACAAAAGTCCATCTTCACTTGTTTTCAGGGCTCTTTGCAAGTAACCACGTCTCGATGCATCTGCCCTGCTTTCACGCGTGCCATGCTCCTTTTTGCAGGAATCCTCTAGCTAGTGAGAATAACAGCAAGCTTCAGGCTGGAATTTGCAAATGCACTAGGTGTGGGAGTTGCACAGCTCCCACCGGAATAAATGGTGTAAGTACTGGTAGTGCTAATGGAGGAAGGCGGCCAAAAATAATTCCTCTGAGAAACGAGCTTGTATGACTTACCTCGTCTGCTATGACTCTTGGAGGACAGAGGAACTTTGGCAAAGCTGCACTTGGAACAGCCATTTTTAAGCCAGCATGGCAACAGAAGGCTTGTAGATTGTGGCAGACCAAAAAAAAAAAGCTCCAACAATGAAGTGCTGTGCAGTAACTACAGGACAATCATGTGCATTCTGCTTTGAACTGCACCTCTACCAAAAACAAACAAACAAACAAACAAAAAAAAAAACAACAAACCCAAAGGGTAACTGTGAAGCCCTGTTTTAATACCTTTCTTTGCATGTCACTTGTAAAGACAAAGGATCAGATATTGCCCAGCGTTTGCAGTCCCCAAGTGAAACACTGCAGGGAGACACAGTGCCACACGAAAAACCTTCGGGTAGCTACACAGCCGAGAGCAGCAGCAGAGCTCAGCCCTGCACATGGTGTTTATGCAGGGATTATGCCTCGGTCAGGAGGTGCACAGGGCACAGCTCCCTTGGGAAGAAGGCAACGCGCACCCACCGACTGCCAGCGACGCTTCGAGGCCAGGCTGGGGGCCACCAGCAGTTGTTGTCCCTGCTGCCCTAGGCGAGATAACGTGATGGGCTTGACCCCGCTCCGGGAAGGAGCCAGAGTTCACACAACCTGGAGAGAAGAGCGTTTGGAGCAGGATCTCGTTGGGATGCTGAGCAGACAGACCCCATCTGCAATGTAGGGCCACTGGCTGAGGGGTTTAGGTGGGCTGAAATTGATGTCAGCCTTTCCAGGTACTCCTCAAAGCCAGGGCCCCTGTGGGGGGCATCTAGTTGCTGCCCTGCCTACGTGCGGGCACTCACAACTTGCAGCTCCCGCTTCCATCCATCGGCCAGTTCCCTTCTGTGGTTTCATCTCCCCCTTTCAATATTCCCATTCCTGCAACACACAGGATAAGTGGTCTGGTGAGCAGTAGCTGCATTCAGAGCAACAGCGCCTGAATTTGGGCACCGGACCTCGGTGATGGGCTCCTGCAACACCAGGCTTGGAGCAGCAGCGCTGTGGGATGGGGTGGGTTTTGTGCAACTTTCACAGGAGACCCTTAAACAGCCGTAGAGACTGCATTTGGGCAGTGATGCTCTGAGGTTCATTTTCACTAAGAAGTCAAAGCAGGCAAACAGACTGGCTCAGGATGCTCACTCTGACCAGAATGAAGTGCCAAGGGTTCATTTAGCATGTCATTACCCATTAAGGTGGAGCAAGCCCATCCTTTGGCTGGCCAGCACGGACAAGCAAGAGACAGAAAGAAAAAGCTGTTTTCAGCAGCAGAACATCTTGATTTTAGGGGGCAGGCAGCACCACTGACTGGTGCCAAACCAAGAGCAGACTCTTCCCTGGGTGCTGGAGGGAAAGCATTGCTGCTGCCCTCCCGGGACACACACAAAATGGGGAAGCCATAGCGTGGCCGAGGGACGAGCACTGCAAAACTTGAGCCCACACCACTTCTCAGAAGGGGACAGCAGAGGAGCTTCCACCCTCATCTCCCCTCCTTTCTCACTGCTACTGCTAAACTAGATGTGTGGATGCATGAGTGAGACTAGGGTGAGACTCTTCAACGCATTGCCTGTTAACTTTTTCCTCCACTTTCTATTCAATTATTTCTCATATTTTCTAAAAATGTCCTGTACCTGCCCTCTCCTGCAATTTCTACACATTTTTGGGTTTGGAGCAAGAAGAAAAGGCACCCCGAGAGCTTTATTGCAGAACATTCACTTGGAAAAGAGGCAGGAGAAGAGAGTAGAGAGACACAGAGAGAAAAATCAGATTTTCATTTTATATTAAGGTCTTAGAAAGACATCTTCTTTAAATGCTGCCTGAATGTTTTCTATGAGAAGACAGAGAAATTAACCCTACTTTCTCCTTTATGCTTTCCAAGAGAAGCCTATTTAGATCCTGCTGCTGTTTTGCAGCATTAATATGTATTTCTTCACAAATCTCTTGCTATCAGCATCTGACCTTGTCTTGAGTGCACACAGCAAATGGCAGCATGTAGCTGTACTTGAATTTGGGAAGGAATTGCATTTGTCTTCCCATGAGCAGCCAAGCCAAACTAATTCGGGAGCTAATTTTAAATTGCACGTGAGCTTAAAAACATGCATGAAAAATACTTTTGGTTTGCTCGTACCAATGGTGCATGTCATGGACACTCAGCTTCAACTTATCCTAGTATTTGACAGCTTGTTGTTTAGTCACAAGGGAGAAAAGAAAAATTTCTCTTGTGGCAAAAAGTAAACAGCCCCCCTTTGTCCCTCCAAACCCGATCTTCCTCCTGCACGCACCAGAAGAACCAAAAAACCAACCACCACCCCCCGAGGAAATCAACTTAAAAAGATAAACAAGCAACAGATTCCTTAAAATATATCACCTTTGAAGAGAATGTTTGGCAACCACTTCAAAATAAGAAAGCGGGACATGCAGCCCACATCACATCTCCTCCCTTCGCAGAAGGGAATTGAGAGATGCTGTGACACTGAAAGATGTGCCCACAAAAAACAATGGGACCTGCGCGGCCACAGAGCCAGCAGACCTACGGTGTTGGCAGAGCTCGCCGTCTTCAAAGGCATTTAATCTCCTTTTAATCTATTTTGAATTGTACGTCAGTACTGTAAAGTTGGCACACGCTTCTCTTTTTTTTTACCAAAAACACTCTCCAGCGTCACTTCCATTAGCTGGAAAAAATACTGGTGGGGGATATTGTCCCTCGTCTACCACCAAACGTACAGCCAGGGCTCCACCCCCATGGCACCTCATATTTTATATTTGTACCCAGTGATGCCAAGCAAACCTCCAAACAAGCTCCCGTACTGTATGGTTTTAGCTTTTCTGTTATTTCATTTCAGCTTCTCTGTTATTTCCCTTGTTGTTCGTTTTGTAACTATGAAATAGTTTTCTTTTCAACTATGAAAGCAAGAAAATTCCTTTCTGAACACAAGCACATAATCATGGGACTGCAGGAATTGGGCTTTGAAGGCAAAGCCAAAAATCACGAGGCTTAGGATGTAGCTGCAACTTCATGGGACTTATGAACGTATAAAATCCATGAAAATCGAGGGTAAAATA